TGAATTTAAATGAAATAAATGGAATGAAATGAAATGAAATTTTGTTAACGTAATTAAATAAAACAAACTGAAATGGCCAGAGATATTAGACAAGGTTGTAACGCTGTGGAATTTAATGGAAACAAGGGATAAAATAGAACAAAACGCAATGAATTGAAATTAAATGAAGATATATGTAACCAAAAGAGTTAAAATTAAATGATAATGTTGAAATTGGTATGGAAAGAAACGAATTAAAATGAAATTAATGGAAAGAAATTAAATAGGATTGAATAAAAGAAATGAAACGAAATGAAACAAAATGAAAAGGTTAGAACGGTTGGGAATGCAACGAAACAGATTGCACTGAGAGAAATGGAATGCAATAAAGAGAAAACGAAAGAAAAAAAGATATGCAGTAAATGAATTGAAATGTTCTAAAAGGAAATTAAATGAAATAAAATTAATAGGATTAAGAGGAAATTAAATAAAACAGAATGAAACCTTAAAAAAAAAACTAAAAGCGCCAAGAAAGTTAATTAACAAATAAAAGATTAATTAAAACCAGAACAAAAATTATCTGTATAACTAAATTTAATAAATATATATTTTTTCTTTTTAAAACAATAATATCTAAATATTTGATTTAAAAAAATTATAGAAATTATAGATAGGTTTCTAAAAATAAATACAATAAAAAAATTCTTTTTTTTTTTTAAACAATAAAATCTAAAAACTCAAAGATAATTCAAGAAAAAAAATTCCGCTGCCCGAGGACTCGTCTTCTCTTAAATGGCGCGCCAGAGATTTGCCCACTCGGCCAATGCAACTTTTGCTTTCTGTAAAAAGAACTTTTCACCATGAAAGTTGGTAAGGGAGTTTTTTTTTGTAAGACTTTCATGCCAGAATAAACAAAAGCTCAAATAGAGCTCAATAACACTATTGAAATAAATATTAATACCAAATTGACAAACGAAATCTTTCAAACTGTCGATCTACGTGGTCATCGCCGAACTATTTTTAGATATGTATATTTGGCCTCTTTTTTGCTTGAAATTGTTCTTGGAAAGTTGTTGATTCGCGAAACTTCACAGCATTTTCTGCGACACCATTCCTTTTGAGACGACTGCTCGATGGGAGCCTTGATTTTTCAAATCTAAGCAATAAACTAAAAACAAGACACTAAATCGACACAGCAGTAATATAAATTTTCTATAAGCTAACATAAATAATCGGTTAGGCGTGTTTGGCATTTAATGCAATGCAGTTAGGCATCGTAAAGTAAAGTTCGCAGCATAAAAAATAGGAACGCAGGACATCCTAGCGAACAAAATACGACATTTATTTTTCGTTGAAACATATATGTACGCTGCTTTCATTTCGAAAGACAACAATTGAATTTGTAAAATGCAAGTGCGCTGTCATTTTAATTTCAACCATTCGACCAAAGGAGGCGTGAAGTTCGATGTCCGTCAAGGCTTAGTCAGCGCGACTGCATGCGTTGTGTGCGATTTAATGTAGTGCCATTGCCTTTTTGGCCAAGACGATTGCATATAATTTTTCTGCATTCCAGCCTCCTTTCCAGTTAATAATTTAAATTTTTTATACAAGCTCTCGAATTTCTTTGGCACGAAGAACTGTGTGCTGCTTCTAAGGTAGGCACCGCCTTGACGTTTGCCAACGAGCGCCTTAAGCAAGCCTTTTACAATCTTCTAAGTACATATGGGCATGTGTCAATTGCGTCACAATGCGGCTGACAGTATGCAGTACTCCTACAAACCAGACAATCACCATTTCCGGCCGGCGACAGCGATTTCATTCAAACATTCAATTCATTCTGCTGTTATGTGCTTTGCTGTCTGATTAGAATTTCTGCAATTGAAAACTCGTTCAGTTGCCGGCGAGAACATCTTCCGTGCGGGAAGTTCGCTTTGTTGAACTACTATAACTCTATTTGTATTTGTCATGCAGTTATGTTTTTTTCTTCTTATATTTTTCGAGCTCCTTAAGGAGTTGGGCCCACACAGCCGGCTACCAACACCTTGACCACATGCAGCGAACTGGTTGGTGGTTGTAGTGCAGTGTATGGCCGAAGGCTTTGCCAACGAAATTGAATTTCAAAGTTTTTGATTTAGAGAGTGGTGAGTGCAAAGTTTTCTTTCATTCTTTTTTCTTCTTTGCTTTCTGTCTAGTTACTCTTGCTTTTGGCTGTCAACGCGTCAGACAAAAGTTTTGTTTGTTACGTCTTGCGTATGAACTTTGCTATTACACTGCTGCCTCTGATGGTTGCCTAGCGATATTTGAAAGACGATTGCATGCGCCATTTTCAGGTAAAGGGGATCAGACATTGCTTTAGAAGACTGTGGTTTTAGAAGGTGAACAGTGTGTTTTGTTTGGTTAAGAAGTGTTGCAGACTAGTCCTGAGGCTAACTAATGGTCCATGGACATCGCCGTTAGCGGGGCAAAATACTGTATGTCAATTGGTAGACGCAGTAATCCTAAACTCTCTGAAGTTACTATTTTGAGACGGACGCTATTTCCTGATCTAAGTCTATACGATAATGGATCGCAGTATTCTCTCTACAAAAGTAAGTTCAAGTACACAAGACACAGCAAATGCGATCGGTTCTCAGTATTTGGCAAACATTTCTGGAAATCTTATTAGCAGTAAGATATATCTGTCACGCTATAAGTTCTGCGTACACCCGAGCCGAAAACCAAGGTGGCATAGTTAGTCATGGTTTACTACTAAGCCGAAAATCATTATAGGAGCCTGACGGAAGTCTTCCATAGAAATTCGCACTGGGGAAATCTATATCTGGTCAAAGCTGCAATCGTCAAATGGGGAGAAAATCTATTGAGCCTATTATTTCCCATTGGCTTAGTGAAGTTTATAGCCGAGCGATAATGGCTGTACTTCCGAGGGATAAGAGGAAGCCTCTCTAAGGAAGGAAATCAGAAAACTCTTCAATACCGCAAATCGTAATGGTTCTTTACCAGCTTACAAAGTAGTCCTGCAGAAATTTAAGAATGCCACCAAGAAGGCCAAAACGGACTCCTGGAAAGATTATTGCGATAGCATAGAGGAACAAATAGAATACGGACTGCGCCTGAGTTGGATATACGCAGATCACGCCCTCTTCTCCGGTTGAAGCGTCCACTGTCCCAACATATTTTTGGAGTTCTCAAATGGCACTGCCTGATAGAAACCCACGCCATTAGAGTGGGTACGCAGTCAAACGATTACCGTCGTAGGAAATCGAAAGCGTATGCCACTGCTCTGCATTGGCGAGAGCCCTTCGACGCTCGTTACGCCATGAATGTATGGCTGATGTCCGAAATGGTGCGGGTAACGAAAAAAACTCGGACGTTTGCAGATACTTAATACAATTACAGTTTACTAATACGTTACTACTTACTACATATGTATTTACAGCCAAACTCGGATAAATAATTTGTTATTTGTGTGATTCATTGACTTGTCATTACCTGAAAAGCAAACAAGCAAACAAATTTTAGAATTTTGAATTTTGAAAAAAATTCGCTTATGTTTTTTTTGGTGCTTATGGCTAGATACGTTTTGGTTTGTTTAGTGATAAGCCGTAAATAAAGCAAGCTATGTGTTAGGTTTAATGTGGTAACCTATCGTAAGCTAATGCAGTCTAAGCTCCATGAAGCTCTAAAAGCTCAAGCCGATTAATTCATACCTTAATCATTTCCCTGAAAATGCAAGTATTTCAGCTCCAATGCAGTGTGGGCGGACACACTTACCATCTCCGTAAAGCCGAAACCTACCTTAAATCTCTTTGGGTCCCGGCACCTGGTTGAAATGCAACTGCACATTGAACTTACCCGCATTTAGGTGTTAAACCATAGACCCGCGATACTCCCCGAAGGGGTCGTACCTCATTGAACAGACAGGAGTAGTGCTCGCCAGCCAGAGTTGCTCGACCAGCTCGACTCACTTGAGTTACTAAACTTACCAGAATACACATGTTTAACTTTCAAACTAGTTCGATTTGCCATCCATTAAACTTTCTGAACTGTCTCTCTAATCGGAGAACAGCTTCCACCATGTTGCTACCCAAAACAACCTCCATTATCCAACCTGCTGGCTCGTCTCACATATCTTACTAATCGTTACTAGGAAGCATACTCCAGTGCACACAGGCCTGGAATGATTGCTTCGTTTCGGACTTTCGCATATACTCGAGTTGCCAAACTCGCCTCTTTCATGCTGCTTGTCTCGCTCATCTCACAAAGCTTACTAATCTTAGTCCACCCCAGGTGTCCCAGACCTGCAGTGAAAATCGACTTTCAACTCTTGCTCGAGTCGCCTAACTCACCCCATTCATTCTGCTCCACTCGCCAATCTCGGAGGTCTTACTAGCCATAATAGGGAACAACTTCAGCCCGGAGCCCATTGGCATCAGTATTACTCCTTTTCCGGTTTTCGACACCCGCTCGAGTTGCTTGACGAGCAGCATTCTTCCTTGCAAATCTTACTAGCTGTACGATCTTACATGTGCATCTAGCTTGTCTTTCGGCCTTGTTCGTCTCACTGGCTTTGCTTATCTAGCCAACGAACACACACTGGGGGCATGTGTTCCCCGCCGTACCAGGTTTAAGTCTTTGGTAAGATCTCGGAAGCCATAGACTCTTCTACCAATTGAGGCTAAAACCGACTCAGGATTGGTAGCCTTTGACTGAAAAAAAGCAAAGTAAGTTCCGAAAGAATTTTCTTTCTTTTTCCAAATTTCTTTATAAAATGTATATTTTTTTTAATGAGGCTATAACGAAGCCACGGCGATGCTTACACGTAAAGGTACTCAAAGGTGTAAGTATGTATGTATATAAATGTAAATCAGTAACAAAACTGTCAACATCATTAATCAACATTCACTCGTGTATATTCGTAATGTCAAATAAGACTAATAATAAAAATGTCAGTCAAAATCTCGCAAGGATCCTTATTGGATTCGCCTAAGACTGTAAAAATAATAAAACTAAAAATTCACATGTTCAATAATTTTATTCTAAACTTTTAAAGATTTTCTAAGAATACCCAATTATGTAAATAATTTTCAAAACAAATTTTTAATACAACATGCAATTTAAGCAAGCACTGTAGCCTTTTCGCCATAATAGCACTTATACAATTCAAATGCAGTCTCGCAGTCATTGGCGCCCTTCACGCCATTGCATTTAGCTTGAACTGCCTTTACTTGCTCCTCACCAGCCAAAGGACCCAACGATTTCTGCACAGCCTCCTCATTGACAACACCATTTACTAAGTATCCCAAACGTTCCTGGAAGCACTTGCTGAAGCATTTCACTTTGTCATCAACTTGACTGAAATCACCCTGACGCAATGCCAATATGGCCTCCTTGCTGGCGCCAGTCTCCTTGGCGCACTCACCAGCCAACAAATGGACCTTTTCCTTTTGCTCCGCGCTCAATTTGAGCACCTAAGGATAGTAGGATATGAAAAATTAAGGTTTTAAGTATGACTTTTTGGATTTTAAAAACTGTTGTGTTGAAAATATAGATTTTAAAGAAATATCTAAAATTGAAAATACCAACATCTTGGCCTACAGCGACGGCGACGAAAGTAAGTACAATAACAGTAGCGAAATATTTCATTTTGATTTGTTTTTTTTTTTTCGGCTTTTGCTAATTTTAAGTTGTTTGAAGAAACGATTTCAGGTTTTCGCTTTGAGTACTGTATGTGAACTGATTGCCGGTTGGTAGGCGGTTTGCCTTTTTATAATCCCGCTGAAGTCGACAGCTGGCCAGTGAATCAGTGATTTTGTTTATTTGTTTACAAAGTCTTGCATGTGCTTTCTCCTCACCTGAATTCTAAGTTTAGTGTTGTTTATATTGTTTTTTTTTAGTAAATGAGCTACTACAGCCTTCAAGCAATGGAAGTCGAATAGCCGGTAGAGGTAAGTAATTATACTGATGAATGTTCACATGTATCGATGGCGTAGAATATAAAATTCATTTTTAAACAAACAAACGTTAACAGTTGGCGATAAAATTTCAAGCCAGCTACATATCTATGTATGTGTGAATGATTACAGAAGACGTATACGACATATTTTTTGAATTTAGATATAAGAACTAAATATGCCTTCTTTCCACGTAGAGACGACTTCCGATAACGCAGGGCACTCGCAATTAGACAAATGTTTCCGGCGCAAGGGCTTCGACGCTATCACATGTCACTGGAGTGCACCCATTTTTAAAGCCACAACCATTACTACTAGAGAAAATATCCAGATTCTTATAGCGTTTTCTTTTCTCGAAAAAATGCTGCACTTATTCTGCCTTGTGTTAGCGCTGTCACATTTTCATGTTCTTTTCTCAGCCCTTTCACAAGGCGTCGTTTTCTTGTCTCAGCAGGTTGCGCTCTGATCCGGCGAAAGTGCTGCCTTTTCTGCCCTCAAATAAACGTGAGGGTGAGAGTTGCATGGTTAATTTTTAATTTAATCTTTTAAAAATTCCATTATTTTCCCTATCAGAAATAAGTGTTTTGCTTTAAAATTGTTAAACACTTACAGGCCAAGTGAATAATTCAGTTTTATTAAGTTCTATAAATAAATTGTGATGGAGTAGTATATTTTCTGTTTCATTCTCATATAAAGAACGCAACATTTTCTCAGGTTTCAGGGCAACGCAAAGCAAGAGTTCCCATATAAAAGGGCAGAACTTTTTTTCAGAAAAGAGAACGCTATTAGCCACCAAAAATTGTCCACAGGGTGGAAGGATCTTCTCTTTATATTTCATCGTAGTTAAGGAACTACTCTGGCTTCTTAGTTAAAAGAGCTTCAGTGTTGATGTACGGATAACATTGTCAACATGATCAGAGGCAACTTTTAAGACATTAGCGTTAACCTCATATAAAATCGCTGATCGCAGTCGGCAAAGAGTGCAGCAAAAATTTGTTGAACATAAACCCTAAGAACTCTGACCTCTTATTTCCTACAGAAAGAGGAAAACTGACAAATAACTAGAAACCTTTCTTAGAGTAGAATGATGCACATCTCTAAAGAAGTCAAACGCCTGTGATCTCGCCTTGATGACAAGCTCTCATGGAATCAAAATGTCGGGGACACCATTTGGAATGCCGGAAGCTAATGGCGTGGAACTCTCTCTCTCTCTGATGTTTTAATGTCGGCATAGATTTTGAGCCTGCTCAGCTGTATAATTTGAAAAATAAGGGCAAAGAAACGTTTAACTCTAAATTACTGATATGGCCAAAATTTGTGATTAAAAGTAAATTTAAAATATGTTATTTTGCGGAGTCACTAAACTTGCTTTTCTCTATTGCCAATGAAACACACCTGCCAGTTTTTTTTTTTGTTTAAATATATAATGTATGCTCAAACTTTCATAAACGTTTGCTATTCTGCACTTCTTCAACTACCACGTAGTATCTAGTTCTTTGGGTGAAAGAGGCAAAAACAGTAGTTACTTCTGGCGTACGATTAAATATTGTCGTTCTACCTTCAATTAAAAGTTCTCAGTACATTTCCAGTTATGGACAATCAAATATCGTCTACCTTAGCTTGTCTATGATATCACTTCACTACTCTTCTTATTTTAATAACCCCATAGCTACTCTTTTTTCTACTTAACTTCAATAATTTTTATTAGTTTATTTTACCTATTGACTTGCAATTTTTTGCGATCACTTCGAGCTCACATTAGCGCAAAAATTGCCGCAAATTTAACCTAGAAAAAGCGCCTAGTCATCGACGTGCCGGCAACATTAGGTGTCATCTTTTTATTTGCCTTATTTCAAGTGGCAAAATCAATCTTCTTGACTTTGTTAACTTTTTTGCTTTGTTACTTGCTTTTTTCAGATTTGTATATACATATTTTGTGTAAGCGAGAAATTGGCTAAAAAAACTAAAATCACAGCAAAAGCAATTATTTAAAGGCAGCGTATGTGTGCAAGTGAACCTGGAAACAATCAACAAGGCTTGATAATAAAAATATATACATACATACATACACGACTTTACCTATCAAATTTTTTTCTAAATAAATTAGTTTTTATTGCTTTTATTGCTTGCTAGTTTACCTGCGCTTGCAGCTGTTAATCGAAAATAAGCTAAGCTGTTAAAAGATAATAAGCTAAGCTTGAATCGTGTGCTACTATTTTCATACATAGGTACACATGTATATATGTACATATGTATGTATTGACTACGCGGAAATAGGTGGAAAACGAAAAACCGAAAAAAGGTTCAAAGTTATGTTTAGAAACGATTTGATTTACTACATACTTATGACTCGATTTTAACTCTTATTCAAATAAAGTATGTATTTAAAATTAATACAGTGGAGTCCGTTTTAAGTAATTCACCCAAAAAGATATACATAGAAAACATACAGAGAAAAACTATTGGTCAAATCGTAAGAAAAAAAGGTCATTCGGATTGGGTATATACATATGTATATATATAACCGGGTTATCAATATACGTATTTTTAAAATATGAAAAATTCATAAAAAACTTAAGAGTTTTCCAATGCCGAGTGGAAAATTTACTGTCGGGGTCAATTTCGAGGTAAATTCAGGTCATTAAGGTCTTTTACTGGTAATCTCCATTTTGTATCCCGAATTCAGAAGGAGTGGAAAAATATTCGTTGAGGTAACATGGCATATCACCCCCGTCTTCAAAAGAGTCACAACTCAAAATTTGCCATTTTTGAGATTATGCGCTATAAAAGTATGTACACAGCACATATACATATGTATACTTACATATGTACACATATATGCTTGCTATTTTCAGACTTAAGTTGTTACCAATGGTCATTTGGATAAACCATTTATACTATGTGCGTACAGTGCTACCATCTATTTACTTTTATTATTTCGTGATATTGCATTCATTTTATATAGCTTAATTCCTTGAGGCGTCATCAAATTCTCGTTAAGTTTCGCAAGAAATGCTATCATCGCTTTTAGAGTTGACATCCGCTTCTGGTTAGAGCTGTAATCGCAGACAGTGCCAAACCCAAGGTGCATTTCGCAGGTGGTCTTACTTACGTACACCTATGTGTGAGTGCAGCATATATATATATATATATGTATGTACATTAGACTGCAGCACAAAAAAAAACGAGTTTTCCACCGGGGTTATACAGTTTATTACACGGTTAAAAATTTCGGTTTTAATTTTAAACTTTTTGGACTACATATATGAACAAACTAAATTCAATTTCAAGTACAAACCTTCCAAGTTAAAAAAAAATAGAGCACATAGTATGTTGGGTTTATAATTTAAACAGTTCGGTTTAAATTTTAAACGCAAACATTTTCATAATTAAGAATAAAAAATAAAAAATCTTAAATTTCATGCTCCGTCTGATGGGGACTGAACCCGGACAGCCTTGGTAGCAACCAATTGTATCAAGCATCTTTGCACACTCAGCTACAGCCACGCATGTAAATGTGCTTTCATATGTTAATTTGTGGCTCTCGGAGAGCACCAACTGGGACCACAAAAGGGTTCAAATCCCGAAAAGGGAGTTAGCGATCCTTCTCGTGCCAACACGTCGGCGATCTCATTGCCTTCGACTCCCAATGACCTGGTACATAGCACATTGTTACCGTGTTTTTGGGTGCCAAAATTTATAGCGTGGCAAAGTAGTATGTAACCAGCGGAAAACTTTGTTAACAATAAATATGGGAGGCAACCGTCAAGCTATTCGAACAAGGTCCCCGAGAGTGCGAAAGTTTCCGACAGATATGGAGTGGTTTGGTCTCCGGATGTAATAAGACATGTCTGATGGACTGGGCCAATATTTTGTAGGCTATTGCGTACGTGTGTAAGCTAAGGTCATTCATTACCCAATTGATACATTGTGTTACAAAAAGAACAGAGGCATTAAACTGATATAATCAAATCAATTTACTTAAGTGATCGTTAAATTAGTGTCATTTGTTGTATAGTCATGGCGTATGCAATAACATTATATTCGCACTTAAAAACATTGAAAAAAAAGAAAATAAAAGACGAACCAGTCATACTTACATTCTTATAAATATGTATGTACTTAGTTTCACACATTGTATATTGCTTATCATAACTATACGACAACCACATATTTACAAGTTTTGACTATTTATTTTATGCACAACATTTTCAAAAAAAAAAAAGAATGCCAAAAACCAACAACAATTTGTAACCACTTAAAACTTTACTACTGGCTAAAAAGCGCGAAATTTGGTTGATACTTTGTTGATTTTTTCATTTCTGTACAAAATTTTAAGCTTTGATTTATATAAATAAAATTATTTTAATTATTTTTTATTTCTTTGTACTTTACCTACGCTTGCAGCTTTAAAGCGGTAATGCACATATTTATATACACTTGTGTTCAGCTGATTAAGCTAAGTAACATATTGACCAGTTTTGGTTATTTTTCTTTTGTTTATTTTATGTTGATAATTATTTTATAAAAGTCAACATTTCAAACTTCTTAAAAAAATTATAAAAATTTAATAAACTTAACCCATTACACCCAAACATTATAAACTTTTTACAAAAGAATTTTTATGCAGTTTTAAGTGAAACTTTTAATTCGCTAGAAAATCGAGAAGATTTTTCATATTTTTTTTTGCTGACGGTGCTAGGCATTTTTCTCCATATATGGGAGGAAATGCTCAACACCGTTTTATTAATGTTATTTTTGCTCTTAAA